CATTCATCTATTTTCTATCGCTCTAGTTTAGATTTGTCTTTCCTAGAGTTTCTTATAAATGGACTCATACAGAACATGTTTTCATGTCTGGCTTCTTTTACTCTGCATATTTTGAAATTCATGCATGTTGTTGAATGTATCAATAGTTTATTCTTTATTGTTGAGTATTCATTGTATGGCTATGCTGCATAATTTGTTTATTTATTCATCTGTTGATGGACATTTGGGTTGGATTGTTTCTAGTCTGGGTCTGTTATGAATAAAGCAGCGATAAGTGTTCAGGTGTAAGTCTTTCTGTGGATCTGTATATATGCTTTTGTTTCTCTTAGGTAAATTTCTAGGAGTGGAATTTCTGGGTTATATGGTAAGGATGTGTTAGCTGTATAAGAAACTGGCAAACTATTTTCCAAAGTGGTCGTGCCATTTTACACAACTAGTCATGCATGAGACTTCCATCTGCTCCACACCCTCACCAACACCTGATACTGTCTGTTTCATTTTAGCCATTCTGATAAGTACGTAGTGGTGCCTCATTGTGGTTTCACTTTGCATGTCCCTGATGACCAATGCTGTTGAGCAGACTTCCATCTGCTCCACACCCTCACCAACACCTGATACTGTCTGTTTCATTTTAGCCATTCTCATTGTGGTTTCACTTTGCATGTCCCTGATGACCAATGCTGTTGAGCATTTGTGTGTCTTTCTCGGTGAACTGTCTGCCCCTCTGTGTATGCTTGTTTATTATTAGGTTGCGTTGTAAGAATTCTTTCTGTATCCTGGACACAAGTGTTTGAGATGTTTTTATGGCGAATACTCCCCCCAGTTTGTGGCTTATCTTTTCATTTTCCTAAAGTGGCTTTCAAAGAGCAGAAGGTTTTCATTTTTTGTGCTTGCTCTGGAAGCACATATACTAAAATTGGAGTGATACAGAGAAGATTAGCAAGGCCCCTGCTCAAGGATGACACAAATTCATGACACATTCAATATTTATTTTTTTAACTGATTAATATATTTTAATTTTTTTATAAGCCAAAGAAACAGAAATACCACATGTTCTCACTCATAACTAGCTGTTAGGAAGGAAGGGGGGAGGGAAGGAGGGAAGAAGGAAGGAAAGAAGGAAAGAAAGAAAAGACCACAACAATACGCTGAACTTTCAGAAAGAGCGTTCTATACTTTAAAAAAAAAAAGTTTTGCATTGTAATGAAGTTCATTTTATTCATTTTTTTTTCCTATGGTTCATTCTTTTTATATTCTGGCTTAGAGATCTTTGCTGGTTTTCTTCTAGAATGTTCTTATAGGTTTAGTTTTTACATTTAGGTTTGCAGTGCATTTCAAGTTTATTGTTATATAAGCTGTGAGGTGAGGGCTGAGGGTCATTGTTTTCCATATGGATGTTCGGTTAGAGCACTGTGCAATGTAAAGATTTTAATTTCCCCATTGGATTATTTCGGCTCCTTTGTCATTCATTTTTGGCTCTATTTCTAGACTCAGTTCTGTTACATTAATCTATATGTCAGTTCTGCCAGTACCGCACTGTCCAGAATGAGTCTTGGAGTCAGATGGTGATAGTTCTTTTTGTTCTTTTTAAAATTTGGGAAATTCTAGGTTCTTTGCATTTCAATATAAATTTTAGAATCTGCTTGTCAATTTCTACCCAAAAGACGCTGCTGGAATTTTGATTAGGATTGTGTTGAATCTATAGATCAATTTAGGGAGAATTGACATCTTAAAAATATCAAGACTTCCTGTCTATGAATATAATATGTCTCTCCATTTATTTAGGTCTTTAATTTATCTTGGCAATGTTTAGTGGTTTTCAGTACAGATCTTATATTTTGTCACATTTATTTCTAAATATTTCATTTTTGATGATTTTGTGAATGGTATTTTTTTATTTTAATTTCCAATTATTACTTGCTAGTATATAGATATAAAATGAATTTTTGCCTATTTACTTTGTATTTGCTGAACTCACTTATTAGTGTAGCACCTTTTTTATAGATTCCTTAGGATTATCTACATA